AAACAATGGAGGGTCACTGTGAGTTGAGTAGGGGTCTGCCTCCTGGGGGTCAACACCCTCTGGTTCTGGGGTTGTGCTAAGCTTGAATGCTAAAGGCTCAGAAGAAACTTGCAAAGGAAAAAACCTGTAACATAAATCGGATTATCCGTGTATAGGGCTTTCTGCACGATTTTGGGGTGTGAGGGCCTCAAAGTGTTCCTTCTCGTAGAGTCTCATCATCGTTGGCATGTGGTTAGGGTCTTAGTGGAATCATGTGACTCGACCCCACGGTGGGCGACAAGGCTCCTGGTGGTGGTCATGGACTGGGGGTGCTGTATGGGCTGGGTGGATCAGAGGTCACTGAATGTTGTCATGGAGAGATGACCTGACTGTCAGGACAGATGCCTGATAGGGGTTATGGCCAATTCTAGGATCGTAAGAAGAGTAAGGATAACAGAGGCAATGTGGAAGTGCTGGCCGACATGAAGAGGACAGTAGCCCCTCCAGTGAGTGCATTGAAAGGTGGCCTGCAGTGACAATGCTGCTGTGAGTCGTAAGCCAGGGCTCTGGGTGAATTAAACGGCAGTGAATTTTGATGATCACTCAGTGCCTATTCTTGACAGCCAGTCGAGAGTACAAACGACACATCAGATTGGGCAAATCTGAGCCGAGACCTCTTTAAAGTGCTAATGAGCAAGGATGTTACTTTAAAGAGTATGGTGCATCTGACTCTTGCCATGGTATTTTCAATTGCTTCCTATGTGCATATCTAAGATGCCAAGAAATGTGGTGCTATAAAAAAGGCCAGAGTGTTCCTTGGAGGCAAAGATGATAAAGCTTTACCTCACATACTTTGGGCATGTTGTTAGGAAAGGCTGTTCCTTGGGAAACAATATCATACTTGGAAAAGTGTAGGGTCTGCGAAGGAGAGGAAGACTTTAAATGAGACAGACGGACACAGGGCCTGCAGCAATGGGCTTGAGGGTGTCAGAGATTGTGAGGTCAGCCCAGGACAGGACAGGGGTCAGGTCTGTTGTTGACAGGCTCACTGTGAGTCGTACTCAACGGCGCCTAACATCACAGAGCTGAACAATGGATAAAGAAATTGATGCCTGGAATTGTGGAGTCGATGGAGAATGCTGGACATCCCATGGACTTGCCAAAGAACAAATCAATCTGTCTTGTAAGGAGAGGACCCAGAGCGTTCCTAGAAGAGAGGCCTTTCACGTGGTCAGGGCATGTCATCACGATGGACAGGCCTGGGAGAAGGACATCTTGCTGGCAAAACAGGGCCAGAGAAGGAGAGCGGTGACTACAGCAGTGGGCTTGAGGGCAGCGGAGGGTGTGGGAGGAGCAGGGCTGGGAGGGATTTCACCCGGGCCGACACAGGGCGGCCTAACAGGGACATCACTAAGCATGCAGCAATTTTTTTCTTGTGTTTGTTGATTATTTGTGTGTTTTCTTTGGAGACTTATATCTATTCAAGTCTTTTGACTATTTTTTAAATTGGATTGTGTGTCTTCCTGTTGGGGAGTTGTAAGGGTTTGTGTGGTCACAATCCTTGAGCATTTCCTCGTTTGTTCATTCACTCATCAACGCCACAGTCATGCCAGGCCAGCTCCAGTGCCCCTGTCCGGCTCTGACTTGGTGTTGCCCACCCTGGAGCAACCCCTGCCCAGTCAGACACTGGGCCTGGAAGTCACATGTGAAGACAGCAGAACACACCCAGGCCTCCAGGCAGGTGTCCTCTTGATGCCATCCTGACTTGAGTATTCCGGAGCTTCCACAGGGTCTGGAGAGAGGAGTGACATTTGCTGGACAGGGAAAGGGTGTAGCTGGTGTCCCAGTGAGGTGGTCACATCTGGGTGCTGACCGTGACCTCTGCGCTACAGCCTGGAGGTAGGGGGCCTAAGTGGCTGCTGCCATGCCCGCCCTGGTGTCCACAGAGGTCCCCCTTGGTTCCCTCTGGTCAGACTGCATGTGTCTGGCCCCTGCCAGCAGGCATGTGACCACAGGGAGATGTGGAGGCCTGCGTGCTGGCCGCTGCTCCTTCGGCAGCTCTGGCCCGCCGGGCTGGATGTTCAGCCCGTTTCCCATCCATCTCAGTTCCCCAGCCGGTTTTCCAAGCATCTACGGTTACTTTGGGCTGAATTCCCCAGATTCCAGCCCGTTCCCAGCCCCGCCTGCCCAGATGCCCGACCTGCAGGCCAGCCTGGCCTGGCCCATTGTGCCCGTGGGAGACCCGAGGGTCCGGCAGATTAGGGTGGCGGTGGGCGGGCCAGGATTGGGTGTCAGTGGCAGCACGTGCTGTGGGCTCGGCCACACGGGGATTTTCCCAGCTGGCTGGGGCGCTGGCTGGCTGGAAAAACACAGAACAGGCTTCTTGACAATGGGGTGTTGACTTTGGGGTGCCCCTGGCTATCTCCCCACGTCACGTTCTGCTGTCACTCAGTGCTCCCAGCTTGTTGTTTCCAGGTCAGCTGTGGCTGTGGTCCTTCCAGTCCGCTGCCCCTGCCTCTGGGGGCTTAAGACCCGACAGCTGATGGATCCACAGTGACAGTCTGAGGCCTTTAGTGATAGTGACCCCATGGCCCCAAAGCCCCCTTCCCAAGTATGCCCACAGACATCTTCCTGGGGAAAGTGGAGGGTCGGAGAGAGAGAGGAAGACCCTCAACCAGATGGATCGACACCACGACTTTAACAGTGAATCTCAGATGGTGAGGATGTGGCCGACCAAGGCAGGGCACGGAGCTGCTGAGCTGAGGGTTGGTGCGAGTCGGTGGATTCCAACAACAGCAAGAAGCAGCAAGCCCTCTGCCCTTCAGTGGGGTCTGCACCCGGTAGGACAGAGGCCACAGAAGCGAACAGCCCTTTCTCCCCTGAAGCAACCGGTGGATTGAACCACTGCATTTCCATTCTCTGCCAACTGTTTGACCAGTGCACCAGCAGGCCGTCCGGGGAACAGGTGTGACAGAGACAACCGGTCGCTCGCACACGCGCTGGTTGGCAAGCATTTCTCGCGGTGTTGTCCACAATAGCCAAACAGTGGAAAAACCCCTGCCGCTGTGAGGCGCGGTGGTGACGCCTGGGAGAGTGCTCGGCCATGCGTGTGGAGGAATGCTGCTGCGTGGTGCACACCGGGGACCAGCGGGGACGTGCGGGAGGCAGTCCCTGAGGGCCACGCTGTAGGATTCCACTGACACGGAATATCTGGGATCGGCCAGTCCGTGAGACGGCGGATTAGTGGCTGCTGGGGAGGCGGGGGGAGGGGGCGGGAAGTGACTGCCAAGGGGGCCTGAGTCACCTTGGGGTGTCTGGAACTAGAGAGGTTTTGCTGGCACACTGTGAAGCTACCAAAGGCTGCTGGATTGTGAACTTTCGCTGACCACCTGCTTTGTGAGCTCACCACTCCGATAACGCCTCCCGTAGAGGGTCCTCAGGGGTAGGGTGGGTGGGGGGTGCACTGTATTTTCACTCAACTACTAACCTCAGATTCATCCCGGAGAGGGTTAAACCAGGCTGCTCCTTGGAGGCAAGGATTCTGGGGCTTCGTCTGACATACTTTGGACATGTTGTAAGGAGAGACAGGTCTTTGGAGAGGGACATCATGCTGGGTAGAGGGGAGGGACAGCACAGGAGGGGAAGACCCTCTATGAGGTAGATTGATTCAGTGACTGGGGTAATCGGGATGGGTGTGTCAGAAGCAATGAGATTGGCACAGGATAGAACACGGTTTAGGGCTGTTGTACATAGGGTCGCTATGAGTCACAAATGACCCGACGGCACATAACAACAACAACAACTAACCTCAGGGTTGGCAGTTCAAATCCACCCAGAGGCATGTGGAAGAAAGGCCTGGCTGCCAGCTGCTTGAAGGCTAATGCCTGTGACAATCCTGGGAAACAGCTTTTTCCGTGATACACGGGGTCCCCCTGGCTGGGAGTGGACCACATGACAAGACTGTGTCTTCTTTTTAGAGTGAGATGAGTGGGTGCCTACCTGGGGGGGGCTTCACTGTCAGGGGGGGCTTCGGCAGACCTGGGAGCAATGTTGCAATGAAACTCAGCAGGTGTTCATGTCTGAGTGTGTCCTCTTGAAACCCCAGCCTCGAGAGTGAAAAGTAACACCCAGAGCTGACTGCCCTGGCATTACTCTCCCATTTCACAGATTTTGCTCACTGAGGCTCAGAGAAGCAGAGTGCCTCCCGGTATTATAGATTACTTGGAGAGGAGCACAGCTTTTCAGACGAGCTGAGGTCCACAGGAATGAGGGAGCCTCAACTGTGGGAGCTGGGTGTGTGGCTGGGGGCCCCAGAGGCATTGCGTGTGGGTCCTGAGTCCTGGATGTGATTTGTCTGACCTGAAGGAGCTGTGGATGAAAGCCAGGACTCCCACAGCTCGGTTCTTGCTTTTGGTGGAACTTGCGACTTGAGATTTATGATCCTGTGGGGGTTACGGGGTCCTGGGACTGGGGTCCCATGGGAACCAGGATCCTGAAGGACTTTGGAGCCTTCGTGGTTTGTGACTGGGGACTTAGGATCCCCGAGCTTTAGCCCCACAGGATCTGTGAGTCGGAAGGATTCAGGATCCGGTGAGATCTGTGACCTTGTCAGACCTGACTCCGACATCAGCAAGTTCATGGTTTCTGTGACTCTGTGGGCCGGTAGCTCATGGAGTCTGAGATTCTGTGAGATTTACAACTCTGTTGTTTGTGTGACAAAGTTGTCGTTGTTGTTAGTCGACCAACATGCCTTGACAGGCAGAGCTGTGCCCCATGGGCATTTTCTGCCTCATCTTTGAAAAACCAGAATGCCCGATTCTTTTCTTCCACAGTCCCTGGTGGGTTCAAGCCACCGATTTCAAAACTGTTGGCGCCCTCAGAGTCCCGAGTCTGGTGAAACCTGGCTTGATTCTGAGGATGGGGCGTGTGTGACTGAGCACGAGCCCCACAGGGTGGATTTCCTGGATGGGTGGAGACAGGGCAGACCACCATCTCACCTGTGTCCCCTCTCTCATCCACAGAGCACTGTCCTCCGTGGTGGCCCTGGGGGCCAACATTATCTGCAACAAGATCCCTGGCTTGGCCCCACGGCAGCGCGCCATCTGCCAGAGCCGGCCGGACGCCATCATCGTGGTCGGGGAGGGGGCGCAGATGGGCATCAATGAGTGCCAGCACCAGTTCCGCTTTGCCCGCTGGAACTGCTCCGCCCTGGGTGAGAGGACCGTCTTCGGGCAGGAGCTCCGAGTAGGTAAGGGTTTGCGGGCTGCCGCTGGGCCCTGCATTATCCTGCACCGTATGGAGGGCTGGCCCCTGCCGAAGGCCTCCCCCTTGGCAGCAGGGTCTGGGAGTGGGCTCTGTGTGCTAAGTGTGGAGGGGGGCTGCGGGCTATGCAAGACTGAACGTGGAGGAAGTCCGTGGGCTATGGGGACTGAGCGTGGAGAAGGACTACAGTTTGAGCGTGGGCTGGGCGTGGAGGAAGTCTGCGGGCTGTGTGTGAGCTGTGTATCAGCTGAGGTGAAGGAGGGCCATGGGCTGTGCAGGACTGAGTGTGGAGGAAGACTGCAGGCTGTATCAGGTTGAGTGTGAAGGAGGGCCTCAGGCTGTGCCAGGGCTGAGCATGGAGGATGTCTACAATCTGAGTGTGGAGCATGGAGGAGTCTGAGTGTGGGATGAGCATGGAGGAGGGCCGCGGGCTGTGCAGGGCTGAGGGTGGAGGAGGGCCGTGGGCTTTGTGGGGCTGAGCGTGAAGAAGGGCCGCGGGCTGTGCAGGGCTGAGTGTGGAGGAGGTCTATAGTCTGAGTGTGGGATGAGCATGGAGGAGGGCCGC